TGTCATTAAGTGCCTAGGGCACAAAATTATGAGCTCTTCAAGTAATGTAGCAATTTGTGTATTAACAGAAAACAGAATACAAAGCCCTTATTAAAACTTTGTAAATGACTCTCAGTTTTTCTTGACCTGACCTGAAGTTTCAGGGTTTTTTTCATAAACACCTGTTTTTATGCATCAATTTCTCTTTTCAAACCCTCAGCAGGTATCCAACCACTAAACCACATTAGACTATTTACACAAATAGATCATTTTTAGCTTCTGGGCTCTGTAATAGCACTGAAGAATGTTCTTTTAAATTTTTTTCAAGAGAAATGAGGTATAGCAAGGTAGTGCTGGAAGGTGCCCTGACTAAACTTCTCGGCACTTTTCCCATTTCTACCGCTAAAAGGATGAAGGGTTAGAAGAACAGGAAAGTCAGTATCCTGCTGGACCAGGGGTGAACACATTAGCTCCATTGCTACTGTTTTCCCTCAGTGGGCTCTCTCGCCAACAGGTTGTCACGTCAGAAATGTAACTCAGTTAAACATTATGGCAGGAGATGTGCATAACAGATAAACTAGTTTCCTTGTCTGGAGAATAAAGTGATTGATGTGGATGAACTTTCCTGTCCCTTACAGCTGAGTCTATGAAAGAATAATATTCTGAATAAAGACGTATGTAACTTAAAATGAAATTTGGCATGTAAAAATACACCTCATAAGCAAATTAAAAAAAAAAAACCTGAGAAACATATGTGAAAACTGTATCACAGAACAGAGGCTTATATTCCTAAGTTATAGAACACTTATAGGAAAAGTAGGCTTAGATAAATGATCTAAGCTATATGAAAAGATACTCAACCTTGCTTTCAGTAAGAAGAATGAAAATTACAACTAGACTGAGATTACAATTTTCACCACTAAGGTGGACAAAAATTAAAAAGTTCAACAAAATTGAAACAACATATCCTGTTGGTGATGCTGTGGAAAAACAGGCCCATGAATCCCCATTCTATGAATCTCTCCCCAAAATATTCAGGCTATATATACACCCACATACCCACACACAAAGTTATTCACTATGAAGTATTTGTGTTAAAGACATGGAATCAGCCTAAATACCCACGAATGATAGGCTGGATAAAGAAAATGTGGTACATATACACCATGGAATACTGTGCAGCCATAAAAAAGAATAAGATCATGTCCTTTGCAGGGACATAGATGGTGCTGGAGGCCATTACCCTTAGCAAACTAACACAGGAACAGAAAAGCAAAGTGAGTAACATGGAATAAAGCAAATGAGTAACTATATTACTGCCATGAGTACTGGGATTTTTAGTATGGAACCAAAGAGCTACAGATACAAGATTGAGGTCATTAAGTAAACACCTGTGGTCCTCAATGTGAATTGGCTATATCAGTACAAAGTTATGATGTCTTTTATATTTAACGAACATCCTGTGCATACGTTTCTTAGCTCTTTCACTGAAAAGGCCTAGAGGGAATGACCAACCCAGAAGCAATGTGTATCCCAAAAACCCAGACATCCAGGCACTCAGATTGTGGTTTCTATTTCACACAAAAGGAACGAAGAGTCTGTGGAGAAGTGTCTTATTATAGATCTGGGCCAGGAAAAGTATTAAATATTAGAAAGAAAGAAGCTATTGAAAAAACTACTGGACTAATTTACACTCCCACCAACAGTGTAAAAGTGTTCCTATTTCTCCACATCCTCTCCAGCATCTGTTGTCTTCAGATTTTTTAATGATCGCCATTCTAACTTGCATGAGGTGGTATCTCAATGTAGTTTTGTTTGCATTTCTCTAATGACCAGTGATGATGAGCATTTTTTCATATGTTTGTTGGCCACATGTATGTCTCTTTTTGTAAAGTGTCTGTTCATGCCCTTTGCCCACTTTTGAATGGGCTTTTTCGTTTTTTTCTTGTAAATCTGTTTTAGTTCTTTGTAAATTCTGGATATCAGCCCTTTGTCAGAAGGGTAGATTGCAAAAATTTTTTCCCATTCTGTTGGTTGCCGATTCACTCTAATGATTGTTCTTTTGCTGTGCAGAAGCCGTGGAGTTTGATTAGGTCCCATTTGTCTATTTTGGCTTTTGCTGCCAATGCTTTTGGTGTTTTGGTCATGAAGTCCTTGCCTACACCTATGTCCTGAATGGTTTTGCCTTGGTTTTCTTCTAGGGTTTTTATGGTGTTAGGTCTTATGTTTAAGTCTTTAATCCATCTGGAGTTAATTTTAGTGTAAGGTGTCAGGAAAGGGTCCAGTTTCTGTTTTCTGCACATGGCTAGCCAGCTTTCCCAACACCATTTATTCAACAGGGACTCCTTTCCCCATTGCTTGTTTTTGTAAGGTTTATCAAAGATCAGATGGTTGTAGATATGTGGTGTTGCCTCCGAGGCCTTTCTTCTGTTCCACTGGTCTATATCTGTTTTGGCACATATACACCATGGAATACTATGCAGCCATCAAAAACGATGAGTTCGTGTCCTTTGTAGGGACATGGATGAACCTGGAAACCATCATTCTCAGCAAACTGACACAGGAACAGAAAATCAAACACTGCATGTTCTCACTCATATGTGGGTGTCGAACAATGAGAATACATGGACACAGGGAGGGGAGCATCACACACTGGAGTCTGTAGGGGGGAAATAGGGGAGGGACAGTGGGGGGCGGGCAGTTGGAGAGAGAGAGCATGGGCATAAATGTCAGATATAGGTGATGGGGAGGAAGGCAGCGCATCACACTGCCATGTGTGTACCTATGCAACAATCTTGCATGTTCTTCACATGTACCCCAAAACCTAAAATGCAATAAAAAAAAATTGAAAAGAAAAAAAAAAAAACTACTGGAATCATGGTAAAAAGAACTCAGGAGTCAACTGGATGAGGAGAGGCTCTCACTGGCCAATAATGGGGAAAAATTCTGAACAATGGTAAGATTAATAAGTGCCATAGACAGAAACACATAAAATGCATTATAAACTCAATTTTTATAATGACACTCAAACACACACACCTCCCTGACTGCACCTGTGGAGGAGGCTAGGAGCAGCTTATTGTTCTAAATGCCGGTAAAGGCATTTCTCCTGCTTTTTCTATACACACTCTATCTCAGGATAACCAAATAGTTGATGAAGGGGTGTTTTACTTTATAGAAAATATCCTAGTTAATAAATAAAAGACCGATGATAAAGTCAGAGTATCACCATTTTATAACCTATAATAACATATGGAATTGAATATAGGTAATTACCAATGTCCAGTAACACCAGAGAGACACCAGCAATAAAGGGCCTCCTGACAGAAGTATATCATACCACTCTCTATAGAGCATTCTTGCCAAAAAAATGTATTTGTGCATGTTGTGTCTGTGTATGAGTGAATGTGTGTATCTCGAACCTAAAATCAGATGAATATTCTAGATTTAACTACCAATCTGCAGATCAGCAAGTTATGTGACAATAAATTCCAGATCATAGGAAACTGCACGAGACAGACGACACAGTTTTTCAACAAATAAACTGCAAGAGAGTAAAGAGTGACATGCTAAGACACCTAGAATAACAAGTACTTTAGTCTATATTACACTGCTCTAACAGAACGCCACAGATGGAGTAATTTATGATGAACAGAGTTTATTCGGCACAAAGTTCTGAAGGCTAGGAAATCCAAGAGGGTAACACTGGTATCTGGAGAGAGCCTTCATACTGCAGTATCCCATGGCAGAAGGCAAAAGAGAGCAAAAGTGTGCAAGAAAGAAAAAGGGGGCCGAGCTTGCTTCTATATATAGCCCACTCTCACAAAAACTAACCCATTCCCACAATAACAACATTAATCCATTCATGAGGGCATAGCCTCATGACCTAATCACCTCTTAAAGATCCCACTTTCCAAAACTGTTACATTAAGGATTAAGTGTCCACCGCATGAACTTTGGTAGATACATTCAAACCATGACAAGAGGGATATATTAATCAATGGCAATTCATGAACCTAGTTTGAACAATTTATCAATCAAAAAATATATGTAGATATGTGGATATATATGTGTTTCTATATACAATATATATGTGTGTATATATATGTTTGTGTGTATACATGTCTATATATGTACCGGGAACTACAGCATTTAATGATATTAAGAAATGGCTGATTTTTTAATCTAAGGATGATATTGTTTTAAAGAAAAAAGACTCCTTACCTTCTGGAAAAATATAAAAAAATATTCATAGGTGAATTGATACAACATATGGGATTTGCTTCAGAATTTAGAGGAGTGGTGAATAAAAGGAGAATTGAGTGACAGTGAGCTGAGATTAGTTTGAATGATAGTCATATAGGCATTTATTGTAACTACTCTTCCTACTTTTATAAAAGACTAAAGTTTTCTATAGAAAAGTTTAAAAACCATATGAACACAAACAACAAAAATCAATGTTACTAATATTAACAAGCTGGTAACAGAACACTGATATCAGACTATACATTCTAGCTTAGGAGGCCACCATGATCACCTGAGGAGTTTTATAAAATATAGTCTTTGAACCACCACTGTCTTAATGAACCTCAAAGATGGAAGGAATTGTGCCATTTCCCTCAGGACTGCAGAAGTGGGGAAAAGAGATTGAGAACCACTGTGTAAACACTTTAAGGGTACAGAAAGTATATTATTCACCCAGTGTTTATCTCAATGCCTAACACTTAAGAAGTACTTAAGAAACATAAAGTGAATTAATTAAAGATCCACAGATGTGCAAATGAATAGGCAAGCTTAATAGTAGCTAACTGCTAGATATGAAAAAAGCATCATTCATATTTGATATTTTAAAAAATCACTCAGGTTATAGAGTTTAAAGAATACGGCTCTCTGTTTTGAGTGGAATGGGTTTCCTTCATAAAGCCACAGACTAGTCACTTCAAACAGCTACAAGTAAACACCCAGAATAAAAATAGTTTTAAATACACAATTGGGTGGGGTGTGGCTAGAAAATATTCTGATTCTACAATCTGTTTTGGACCAGACAGTGCTTCTTATGTGACTAACAAAGCAAACAGCAGTCAGATTCCTTGTGCTGAAATAAGCATACTATTTGCAAAAAGGGTTGGCTGCCCAAGGCTTATTCAATGAAGACACCACATTTTCCAAAGCTAAAGGGGAATACAGAATGACAAATACCCAAATATATTTACATATCCTAAAAGAAGGCATACAACCGCCCGATATGGATTTTTTTTTTTTGTCTCTAGTAAGTACTAACCGGAGCCAAGTCTACCATCTGACCATGGAGAACAGCAGAATACCTCAAACACAAGAATAATCTAATTTTAAAACTGGGAAGAGCTTAGAAACCACCTAGTCCAAACTTTTCATTGTGTTGATAAAAAACAGACACCCAGAAAGGTTAAAGTGAAAAGCTCTGAAAAGTGTTGCAATAGCCACAGATGAAAAATTGGTATACACAGGTACACAGCGCTATATATTAAGAGCTGAGAATTAGTCTTCTGAATGTTCACATGGATGATAACAGGGTATCGGTCTCAATTATAAGCAAACAGAAGTAAGTGTGTGCATGTGTGTCACCATATATACACAAAAAACCTAAAAAATATATTTTTAATAATTCCTTTCAAAACAAATTCTTCAATCTAGCATTCAAAAGCGTCCATAAAGATACCTCCCTCACTTTTTCAAAAGGTTGTCCAAATGAGCCATAAGACAGTAGAAGGCAGGTGTTTTCTCACATTTATCTTTTGTGGTCTCCTACAGATGTAGCAGAGTATATATTATAATTACAAAAGCTATTCCACATATAATTTCCAAATGATGAAAGAATGATTATAATATAAACTTTCCTATTCTGTTAGTCTGAACTGCTATAAAAAACATATTTTATATGTATCTATGAATATTATACAGAGACATATATAACAATGTAGATTTTTTAATACTTCAATTAACAAAATAAAGCGAGAGGAGAGAGGCAAATAAGATGCCTTATCCATTTACATTTCCATAACGGGCGATACAAGGCTTTGTTTAAAATACAGAAAATTGCTTGCAGGGGAGAGAAAGGGAAAAGTAAAAAAGACAAATCTTTCTTTCATTCACTGGTCAAACTTTCAATTATTTTAATTATTCATTAATCCTGAATCCATGTTACTTTAAGTCTATGGAGGTAGAAAAATGATGTGTCTATGCCCATGTATAAAATTGTCCTTCTCAATCAGTTCACCTGTATAGTCAATTTGATCTTGATTCAAAATGATGCAATTAAATAATATAAAAAATTTGGGTTCTCAACTTCCTATCTTTATTAGATTTTTTAGGATTCTAAAACCTGATTTTAAAGTTTTCCTAATATCGTTAAACAGACTCTACTGAAATTGACAACCACAGTTTTTACTTCCACCTTGAGGAAAAAGTATTTCTAATTGGGATGATTCCTAAAGGAAACTGTAAGTTAAGCCAATAATTTTTTTTTAAAGCTGAAAGCAAAGTTTGAAAAATTTTCTCTCCTTAAATAAACACAGCAATCTTATGTAAATTAACATAATATGAGATTATCAAATTAAGGGGTTTTTGCAAACTCTACTGCAACTCTAAAGTAAATCCAAATTTAACGAGAAAATCTGAAGTCGTTTACTGAATATATTGTAGTGTTGTAATAAGGAAGCTAATTCTTTCAGGATAATTATATTGCTAACTCTACTATCAAATTCACAGATGTCTTGCCCTGTCTGAAAAATTTAAAATATTTAATATGCTATCATATTTTAAATTTCTCTTATTAACTTCTGAAGGCTTACACTAAAATTCTGACATGCAAAACCACATGCCTACATTTTCACCATTTTGTTTCTTTTGCTTAAGCCTAAAAAGTAGGAATTGAGTTTAGCTATTTTCACAAAAATTTACAAACATTAATAGATACATTGATAACTTTATATAATAACTCAATAATTTAGATGATGGTTTAAATCCAGTACTCTATTCAAGGAATTCTTTATCCACTTTCATGTACTACTAAATATTATATGATATTAATCAAATAACATAAGAATGTGTTTTTCAAAAATAAAAAGGAGGTATCTTCATTCTGTCATCAACCAGTCTAAACACTAGGGTAATAACTAATAAGATAAAATCACAGAAAAAAATCGTCCCTGGTTAAAACTATTAATATATATTTAAGACAAAGGTTTTATTTTTCAATAAGAAAACAAGGAAAAGGAGAGCCCAGCCTGATCCTGTGTGCCTGCCCAATAGAACTTTCCACCATAATTACTGCTTACCATCTTGGGGGGGGAGGAGCTTAAGCTCAGGGTAACCTCATGTACTAAGGGAAAAACAGTATAAATACCACAGGGCAGCTCTGGAGGGGCACCTTCTGCACTGCTGACCTGGGCAGAGGAGGCTTCAGAAAGCTGCCAAGGCACCATTTCCAGGAACTCCCAGCACCCAGGTAAGTGTATGCTCACTGGCGGACTTCCATGTTAACTTGCTTGGAAACAAACTTCAATAATTTAAATACTTGCGTTTTCTCAAATATTACAAGTATTAAAGTGATTTTTAAAAATATGGTTTCTACTAAAATGCACTCAGAAAGTTCTTTTTGCATCAGTCTATAGATGATAATCCTAATAAAACCATATTTTAAAAATTTGCCCTAATCTGAATTTCAGTGTATTTTGAAACTATTGGATATTTCAGGCTATGTCAAAGATCCTGGATTATTTAATACAGACATCCAATCCTAATTTCTGTTTCTTTTTCTTTAGCTAAATCATTGTTTTTCACTTGATTACCTGAATATAAATAACTATTAGACATATATTTAGATTACTAAATAATGTTCTCTCATTTACTTATGGCACATATTAAAAATATATAGGAAAGGTTAAAAAAGTAGATAACTGTATAAAGAACTCATCTGTGAAACAGAATAATAGGTTAATAATAATGCAGTATAAAGTTATTATTTTCTATTTTTCAGAATCCATCTGAGAATATGCTGCCACAAATCCTGTTTTTGCTGCTAGTATCCTTGAACTTGGTTCACGGAGTGTTTTATGCTGAACGATATCAAACACCCACCGGCATAAAAGGCCCACAACCCAACACCAAGACACAGTTCTTCATTCCCTACACCATAAAGAGTAAAGGTAAACTGAATTGTACATTTTGTTCTATTAACAAGTTGGTTGTTGCTTTCTACAATCTTAATAATCTCTTTAACAAAATGCATTTAACTCCGGTGTTAAATTATTTTCAAGCTTCTGATTTAGCCCAAATTATTACAACAAAGCGATCTGTGAAAAAAGTAGGACAAGAACATCCATAAGTATAGTAGAAACTATATACCTGAAAGTATAGTATAAAGATATACCTGGAGAAAATTAAGAACTTTTGTGTGTAAAATTTTTTTTCTCAGATGCTGTTTTTGCACAAATAATTCATGTAATCCAGAAATATTGATCTAATCAAAATTAATCAAGTTAAAAAATTTTAAGCTAAAGAGTATTGCCAATTGTACAAAGAAAATAGCTGGTTTATGTACCTGAGTAATTAAATATTTACTTTTCAAACTAATTCAACTAGCCCACAAACAGACATAAAACAGAGTCTTTTCAAAAAAAATCTGATGCTCCCCCCAACAATGAACAAATGTAATTATCAGAACTGTCAAGCAGGCAAATGAAACTACAATTCTCATAATTACTTACACATTTTTAATACAGTGTAGTGGTAAAATGCAGAGACATAACTATAACATACAAGCTGTGTGACCTGAGGTAGGTTATTTGTCCTCCCATGCCTTAGTTTCCTCATTTGTAAAATAAGGAGCAGCTATCTCAAGGGCTGCTGTGAGGTTTAAATGAATTAATACCTGTAAAGTGCTTTAAGTGTTGCTATTACTTCTACTACTACTTCTGTTACTCCTAGTTTTAATTCTGTTGCTTTTAGTTACTAATATAGCCTTCAATAAGTTAATGTTCTTCTTCAATCTGTTGCTTATCTGTCCAGTTTTCTTGGTTACTCTTTGAAGGGTACTGAGATAATATATGTAAAGAACTATGGCTCTCAAAGAAGGGCAACTTCTAGGCCTCATATTTACTAATTTTATAATAGCAACTGACACAACTGCCTATGAAATGTCTACTGAACAATACAAACTGACTGCAGGCTTCAAATTCCCTTTCCATAATTTTTTAGTTATATATTTTATCCTGTAAATAAAGCTAAGGATATTTGTTATACACTTTTAAATATTATACTTTTGGGAACAACCATTTTGAGCAAATGAAACTTATAGAATTGTCTTTTTAAGAAGAAAGATTAAATTTAAAATATTTCACAAAAGGTAATATTTGAAAATAAATGCACAGGTATACAACAGATACTTGTGAATGTCTCAAAATATAAATAAAAATGTTAAAAGTAAAAAGCTAGTAAAGAAAAAATAAAAGGCAAAGGACCTTCTGCTTTACTTGAAGCAACAAACACAACTTAAATGCTATGACAAACAGCACTGTATTCAATAGTTTCTGTGATCACAAATTCAGACTATTTAATACCTTAATAAGAGCATAATAAACAGTCTTGAATTAAAAAGAAAATGCACTATGTTTAGAAAGTTAAAAATACTTTGATATTTTCTTATTATACTCCATTATCTTGGCTACTTTTACAGAACAAATGAAAATATCTTAAATGAAAAGCTCAGAAGCTGTATTTAAAGTACTAAATCCACCTTAGTCTCTTTTTAGATAGACACTCTACTGCATTATCATCCATTGGCAGGCATTAATGCACTGTAACAAACACAAAAGGCCACAGTCTATACAAGTAAAGCATTAAGTTGATAGCGGAAATTCAAAGAGTTACTACATAATTCTTAGGCATATCTATCCAACACAGGTTACAAAAGAGTTCAGTCAAAACATTCTAAATTATGCTGCAGAGGATTCCACAGCTGGTGGGCAGACAGGTGCCACATTTTGACACAACCAATCACGATTTCAGTTTGTGGCATTTAAAAAACTTAATAGTAGCAAGTAGTCATTTTTCCTTGAGGACTGTGCTACCCTAATCTTGAATGAAGAAAAATTTTTCAGATGGCAACCTACAAACAGGAGCTGTCCCCCAAGCATTCAATAGAAGTCAAATTCTTTCTTGAACCAAGAAGTTGAGGACCCATTAGGACAACATTACAAGTAACAAAGTTAACCCTTTCACTGGAGTTCTAGCCTTGGATGATGCCCGATGCACTCTTTTCCATTGACTTATTTCTCCTCTTGAACAGTAAAACAGGTTTCCAATCAGACTAAGACAATTATTTTTAGTTGTGAACATGACACTTATAATCAGATTCTGAAGCAAACTTCAATCTAACACAGTTGGCCTTTAAAAAAATACACTATTTTATTCCTCCAACCCATTAAAAAATTCCTTCCTTATTTATCCATCTATTTGCAACATATCAACATCCACTGACACATAATATAATCATGCATACACACTACAATCAATGAAACATTTGTTAATATATGGAAATCTTTTACATAAATTAATTTTTCTCATAGTCTTTTTCCTGATGTCATTTTCTGAAAATCCATGGGGAAAGCTCTATGTATTTATTAATAAATGTTTTCAAATTGAAATACAACTCTAATTATTATGAAAAATATCTAAATCAAAAACAGTTTCCTATTTCAGCCTATTTTCCCATTTCAGCCTATCTATTTTAATGATTTGCTCTGCATGTATACACATCAAATGTTTTCCAAATCTCAGAAACATCTTTACCTTGTGCTTTCCCCATACTTGTGGTCCAGCAGCATTTTTCACATCACAGGCACTATGATTTTTTTTTTTTTTTTGAGACGGAGTTTCGCTCTTGTTACCCAGGCTGGAGTGCAATGGCGCGATCTCGGCTCACCGCAACCTCCGCCTCCTGGGTTCAGGCAATTCTCCTGCCTCAGCCTCCTGAGTAGCTGGGATTACAGGCACATGACACCATGCCCAGCTAATTTTTTGTAGTTTTTTTTAGTAGAGACGGGGTTTCACCATGTTGACCAGGGTGGTCCCGATCTCTTGACCTCGTGATCCACCCGCCTCGGCCTCCCAAAGTGTTGGGATTACAGGCGTGAGCCACCGCGCCCCCGGCACTATGATTTTTTAGTTTAAGTTTAGTTTATCAGGTCAAGTGACCTCAGAGCTCTATAAAAACAATATATATTTGTATTCAGAGCTCTATGAAAACAATATATATTTGTATTTAGGTAAGTACTTTAATGCTATTTTATGTGCCTTACCCATTATGTTTAATTTTCTAAATCTTTGTTTTGATTTTAAGTCAATAATGGAGAGTATAAAAGCTCACAGTATATTCTGAGGTAAAAATAAATAAACCTAAATCTAACCTGGGTTCAGCAGGGGCATGGCAATGTAAATCAGAATTAATTCTGTTTCTCTTTTATGTCTGACAAGATAGCTTTGAGAAGGAAAATTTTTATAGTTCTTAAACATTTTCTCAGTTATTCTGCCCTAGTCTTTTTCTGCCTTTTCTGTACATGATTTTCCCAAAACAGATGTACTAAATTTACTCTCACTGTCACTTGTTCTAGAGGAATTCTTCAATCCCACCTCATTTTCATGAATCACTGTCATGTGATAAAAGTATTATGGTAGCCATGGTTTTATGAAATCATCTTCTCTAGCAGAGTTTTTTTTTAAAGCAATGCAAAACATATTCTCTAAAACCATTTCAGAATGTTTTGTCTACATGGAATAAATGACACTGAAATATCCTATCCCAATTCGTATTTTGAAACGCAATGATTATCTTTAATGTCACTAACCATCCCCTTCTATGGGTGGGTGTGTTGGGTATGTCTTTTAGGTATAGCAGTAAGAGGAGAGCAAGGTGTTCCTGGTCCACCAGGACCCGCTGGACCTCGAGGGCACCCAGGTCCTTCCGGACCACCAGGAAAACCAGGCTATGGAAGTCCTGGACTCCAAGGAGAGCCAGGGTTGCCAGGACCACCGGGACCATCAGCTGTAGGGAAGCCAGGTGTGCCAGGACTCCCAGGAAAACCAGGAGAGAGAGGACCATATGGACCAAAAGGAGATATTGGACCAGCTGGCCTACCAGGACCAAGGGGCCCACCAGGGCCACCTGGAATCCCTGGACCAGCTGGTATTTCTGTGTCAGGAAAACCTGGACAACAAGGACCCGCAGGAGCCCCAGGACCCAGGGGCTTTCCTGGAGAAAAGGGTGCACCAGGAGTCCCTGGTATGAATGGACAGAAAGGGGAAATGGGATACGGTGCTCCAGGCCGTCCAGGTGAGAGGGGTCTTCCAGGTCCTCAGGGTCCCATGGGACCACCTGGCCCTCCTGGAGTGGGAAAGAGAGGCGAAAATGGGGTTCCAGGACAGCCAGGCATCAAAGGTGATAAAGGTTTTCCAGGAGAAATGGGACCAAGTGGCCCACCAGGTCCCCAAGGCCCTCCTGGGGAACGAGGGCCAGAAGGCATTGGAAAGCCAGGAGCTGCTGGAGCCCCGGGCCAGCCAGGGATTCCAGGAACAAAAGGTCTCCCTGGGGCTCCAGGAAGAACTGGGCCCCCAGGGCCTCCTGGCTTTGGGAAACCGGGCTTGCCAGGTCTGAAGGGACAAAGAGGACCTGCTGGCCTTCCTGGGGGTCCAGGTGCCAAAGGGGAACAAGGGCCAGCAGGTCTTCCTGGGAAGCCAGGTCTGACTGGACCCCCTGGGAATATGGGACCCCAAGGACCAAAAGGCATCCCAGGCAACCATGGTCTCCCAGGTCCTAAAGGTGACACAGGGCCAGCTGGGCCTGCAGGATACCCTGGGGCTAAGGGTGAAAGGGGCTCCCCTGGGTCAGAAGGAAAACCAGGGTATCCAGGAGAACCAGGTCTCAGTGGTCCTAAGGGTAACCCAGGGCTACCAGGCCCAAAAGGTGATCCTGGAGTTGGAGGCCCTCCTGGTCTCCCAGGCCCTGTGGGTCCAGGAGGAGCTAAAGGAATGCCAGGACACAGTGGAGAGGCTGGTCCAAGAGGTGCCCCTGGAATACCAGGTACTAGAGGCCCTATTGGGCCACCAGGCATTCCAGGTTTCCCCGGTTCTAAAGGGGATCCAGGAAATCCTGGTCCTCCTGGCCCAGCTGGCATAGCAACTAAGGGCCTCAATGGACCCACTGGGCCACCGGGGCCTCCAGGTCCAAGAGGACACTCTGGAGAGCCTGGCCTTCCAGGGCCCCCTGGCCCTCCTGGCCCACCAGGTCAAGCAGTCATGCCTGAAGGTTTTATAAAGGCAGGCCAAAGGCCCAGTCTTTCTGGGATGCCACTTGTTAGTGCCAACCAGGGAGTAACAGGAATGCCTGTGTCTGCTTTTACTGTTATTCTCTCCAAAGCTTACCCAGCAATAGGAACTCCCATTCCATTTGATAAGATTTTGTATAACAGGCAACAGCATTATGACCCAAGGACTGGAATTTTTACTTGTAGGATACCAGGAATATACTATTTTTCCTACCACGTGCACGTGAAAGGGACTCATGTTTGGGTAGGCCTGTATAAGAATGGCACCCCTGTAATGTACACCTATGATGAATATATCAAAGGCTACCTGGATCAGGCTTCAGGGAGTGCCATCATTGATCTCACAGAAAATGACCAGGTGTGGCTCCAGCTGCCCAATGCCGAGTCAAATGGCCTATACTCCTCTGAGTACGTCCACTCCTCTTTCTCAGGATTCCTAGTGGCTCCAATGTGAGTACACCCACAGAGCTAATCTAAATCTTCTGCTTGAAAAGGCATTCTCCAACTCTACCCCACCCTACAAAATGCATATGGAGGTAGGCTGAAAAGAATATAATTTTTATTTTCTGAAATACGGATTTGAGTTATCAGACCAACAAACCTTCCCCCTGAAAAGTGAGCAGCAATGTAAAAACACATGTGAAGACCCTCTTGAATTTCTAGTCAGCAATCCTAAGGCTCTTTCAAGTTTTCTGTGAACTCCTCCAATATTTAAAAATATCACCAAAGAAGTCCTGCTATGTTAAAAAAAAAAAATCTAAAGAAAAAAAAAGAAATACAGCTCTAAGTTATGTGAAGTTTGATTTGAGAAACTCAACATTTCCTTTTTTAAAAAACCTGTTTCTAACTACTAATATGAGAACTTCTTAGGAAACATTCAGGAGGTATCATATAACTTTGTAGAACTTAAATACTTGAATATTCAAATTTAAAAGACACTGTATCCCCTAAAATATTTCTGAAGGTGCATTACTCTGAGGCTTGTATGGCCCCTTTCATCAATATCTATAAAATATACAGGAGCATGTATACTTTTAAAGCTCTTATATTAAAAAATCCCAAAATATTATATTGAAGTTCATCTGAAATGCAAGGTGCTTTCGTCAATGAACCTTTTCAAGCTTTTCTGTGACTGCAGAGAAGCTTTTTATATACCCAGCATAAATTGGAAACAGGTATCTGACCTATTCCTATTTATTTAACAAAAATGTGATTAATCTGACTTCTTTAATTCTTTATTGGATCTTATGTGATACGATTTTCTGGATTTACAGAACATTAGCACATGTACCTTGTGCCTCCCATTCAAGTGAAATTATAATTAACATTGAGGGTTTCAAAGAATTGACTAGAAGTGGAGACACATTATTTATTTATGCTCTGTACTGTATTTTTATATTGCTGTTTAAAACTTTTAAGCTGTGCCTCACTTATTAAAGCACAAAATGTTTGACCTACTCCTATTTACAATACAATAAAATAACATCAATAGACTTTTATGCTGAATTAATTTGAAAGCAGCTATTTGCTGTTCTCAACCATTCTTTTAAGGCTTTTCATTTTTTAAAGCTAATAAAAAAGTAGAACAATAAAGTGGTGGGTGGCTTTTGCAGTTGTCATGGATATGTTCCTATACTGGGGATGAATATTCATTCCTACAGACCCAAGCACTAAGGGTAGACCCGTGAAAAGGTACCCTCAAAGCCACATGCAATCTGAGTCAGGGTCAAGGGCTGATGACTAGGCATAGAAAGATGAGACAGTCACCACAAAGTTGTAAATTTTCTTCTGGGAGGGAAAGAAGCAGGTGACAGAGAAATATGTCATTTGAACAAATATTCTGCAGTTACTATTTACTGTCTTGACATGTTTTTAGTCATAATATTTAAAATTGTTTTGATGGCTTGAATTACATTTTAAAAAGGCAAGCAATTTTTTATGTCAATCAAAAGGCAACATTTTTCCAAGCTGAAAAATAATACTCTTGAGCATCCATCGTCTGATTAGTTTAATCAGGACGATGTGGCTCAAGTCACTGAGGTAACATACTATAAAGGCATCTATTTATTCCTTAGAAGCAATCTTGTGTAATCCAAGCTGGGGTGTGATTGGAAAGGTAAAATTCAGGGCTCAAGATTGGTGATATCTCTGCCCCCATTCTGGGTCAGCCAATCTTGTTCCTTAGGCAACAAGAACAAAATTTCTGTTGGCAGACATCTGCCCACATGTCTATAACTACTACATTAATGGTTACAAGTCACCAACCCTCATGCCCAAGCCAGGAAAAAGCAAAACCGGAACTTCAATTCTGAGGAACTCACTGAACGAACCTCATGGCAGGCATAGTAAAAGAGAGTGTAACAGCACAGTACAGCTTGGAATATGGGCAATTATAATCATGAAAGAAGTGCAAATAAAAGGACCTCTGAAAATGTAAGCAGAGCTAACTTTATAATAATATTTAAGCTCAAATTAAATCCTAAGTAAGATATGTAGCAAAGCACATACTTTCTAACTAATTCACCAGACAAACATAGTTTCACAAACATGTATTAGGAAGCCCCTCTTTACTATACTCACCCTTAAAAGCTGACATTTTATAATTGTGTTGTATAGCAGCAACTATATCCTTCCAAAAATCAAATGTTTTTTGACCATTGTTCTGCTGAAAAAATAATTCCAAATGTAATAAATGCAATAATTCAGTTTTTAAGCATAGTGAAAAATGCTGGCAAATACAATGCAGACAGTCCCTGACTTAAGATGGTAAGACTTATATTTTTTTTATTTTATGATGGTGCAAAAGTGATAAAGATTCAGTAGAAACTTTAAGTACCCATACAACAATTTTGTTTTTCACTTTTAGTACAGTATTCAATAAATCACATGAGATATTCAATACTTTATTATAAACTAGGCTTTTTGTTTGGTGACTTTGCCCAACAGTAGACTAATGGAAGTGTTCTGAGTATAAGCTAAGCTAAGCTATGATATTCAGTAAGCCAGATGTTTAAAATGCATTTACAGTATTTTTGGCTTAACGATGGATTTGTCAGAAAAAAACCCCATCATAAGTTAAGGAGCATCTCTATTACTATATTCTCAAAGGAGTTTATATTTTAGAAAACATCATAGATTAATAAAGTTCTCATTCTTCTAAATGTGATTTTAAAAAGAGAAATCTTCCATGAAAATCACTGCTATGTATATAAACACATATCACTAAATGTTAATATTGCTCATTTAGCCCAAATAAAATAAAAATTTCCACTTATCAAAGTCTAAAAATTATAGAGTATTTTTAAACACAGCAAATTCACAGCATTATATAATTTCTGAGATATCAGAATGTTTGATATAAGATACTATGGCATCAATGGGACTAAGAAGACTGAAGCCTGACTTTAGAATTCAGTGCACAGGTAACCTGAATTTCAATATGAAAGAGCAGCAAATCTCAATAGAAGAAATGAATCAGGTTCCAAATCCAAAATGTAAATTTTTATTAAGATTTTTTTCAATCAGAAAGCAAATAAACATTACATTAAAACACACAACCCTAAGATCCTTTGCTTCCTTGGAAATGTTAACCAGTGACCTATCCAAAGAAAGACAGACTACTAGATATTTATATCTAAATATACAAACTCCAAAATATTTAAAGACTGATACACTTTGCTTATAATAACTACCAAATGAGAAACTGACTCTATCGTGTATTAATAAAGATTTCTATGAACATACCCAAACATACCCAAATGGAAGCTTTCACAACACATAAATATAATTCTGATTCACAAGTAAAACATTACCTGTGTTCTATTATCAAAATGACAGTAGTGATTTTTTTTTTATTTTTTGAGACAGAGTCTCACTCTGTCACCCAGGCTAGAGTGCGGTGGTGCAATCTCAGTTCACTGCAACCTCTGCCTCCCGGGTTCAAGCAATTCTCCTGCCTCAGCTTCCTGAGTAGCTGGGACTAGAGGCACACACCACCATTTCTGGCTGATTTTTGTATTTTTATTAGAGATGGAGTTTCACCATATTGGCCAGGCTGGTCTTGAACTCCTGACCTTATGATCTGCCCATCTCAGCCTCCCAAAGTGCTGGGATTACAGGCATGAGCCACTGTGCCTGGTCCAAATAGCAGTGATTTTTAAAAGATAACATATGCATAAAGAAAAGTGATTCTGACACATAAATCTATTTTATGTTTACAGGTCTTAAGTCCTAAGTATAAACTAGTATAACAAGAGATTGAATTTAATCTTGATACACAGTACAGAAGAAAAAATTTACATTCATTAAATGATGCTCAAAATGGTGAATTTTTAAATTTCATCAATTTTTTTGCTTTTATATTATTTAGAATGCTTAAAGACATGCCGAATTGTCTTAACCTTTAACTTTTCATTTTGCTAAATGAAACTATTTATTTTACTAAAGAAAATATTTTGTCCAGATGCCAAGTTCTGTATTTATTTTCTTTTTCTAAACTTTTGCACCCTCTGCTGGAGAATAGGTTTATTTTTCCTGAAAGGAAAAAAAAAGTCACTGCTATTTAATTTCCCAAAAATATTTTAACCAAATTCACCATGTTTTCTTTCCTCATCACCTCTGAAACCACAAAGAAGAAACTGAGCAAAAATCACAGCTCAGAAGCAATATGTAATTAAGTTCTCCAATTTATGACTGAGACATATCATAGTTTAAAAAAATGAGCCCCCACTTACTTTTGTTAAATAGTCCACCACCCTGGCACATAGAAGAGCTCCTGGCAGGTCAAAGTAGTTGTCGTAAAAATAGTACTTTCCTAAAAAAGAACAAAATTTTAAACTGGGAACAACATAATGCTGTATGCATGTGAAATACACAGAAATGTGGCTGAAGAGACATTAGATTTTGGTTTAATTATCTGAAGAAGCCTCCATTTCAATTCAAAATGGCACCATTATTGGCTGTCATTGTCTTTTAAAAAAGATGTAAGCTCTGAGGGCACCACAAGAAATTTAAAATATAATATCTGGAAGTTAAGCATTGTATTCAAAGATATTTTAGTCAGCTTAAAGAATGTAAAAACTAAGAAGAGTATATGTAAAAAATAAAATAGAATATTAAAAAGCCATAATTTATGTTATCGATGTCACTGAATTTCAAAACAATCAATTAACCTAATGCTGGAGTGCCATGAAGAGCTCCCTACTTTCAGATTGGTTGGCCAATCCCACCTAGAGTACTGCATTCTATTTTTATGCCATTTAAGACAAATTTCAGTACAATGTGAAAAAAACTGGGGTGATAAGTAGAATATAACCACGCCATGTGAAAACACAGTGTATTTATCTTATAAAAACTGTAGCTAACAAATGGGAGGACGGGGGAACAAAAATCAAGTGATTATAATCAAAATCAAGTGTAGAGTATGGGACAGGTACATTCCAAGATTTCACGGAAGAGAAGGATTTGGTTTATTCTATATGACCTTAGGGTAGAATTACATTTGAGTCCTTCTTTGGCACACGTGACTTTTGGGTCTGCTGTCCCTGAACAGACAATTTTGATGACCCATGTCACATTCCCTTGGCCCATGTCTGATTCCAGCCACAGCTATGCTAATAGCACCATCCCACCTTGGCATACTGTGTTATTCTCTTCCTCCCAACGGCTCTGGAGCCCATGTGGCAAACTACAAACTTGGAACAGGTTCAGGAACCAGTAAATGAATGCCCTGCCTCCTGTTCCATGGACTGACAATTCTGGGAGGTATTTTCCGTGCTTCTCCTTGGAAGTCCCAGTGGAGTCCAGCACCCATTGTTCCTTCCATGTCTCACCCTCTCACTCCTTCACTCCTGACTACTGAGATCAGGAGTAACCACTCTGCTTTTGAGGGAACCCAACCTCACAGAGTTCCCTAGAGAATGCTTGTTACCAAGAAGAATCAAAGAGAACCAGTAGGCAAAGCCAGATTTTGCATTAATAATAAGATGCTTGAGTACATCATTGTAATCATTTGATTTTGATTCCCCCCTCCTCCCATTTGTTAGCTATGCATATGAGGTTATGGAACACATTTGTCTTGTTGTTTAGTGTTGACTAGGCAGTGTTCAGCATATTCTAAGTACTCAAGAGATGTTTGCTGAATGAATGAATGAGTAACCAATAATCAAATAGATTACTTTGGAATGCAAAAGTATTATAGGGAAATTAGAAGAAAGCCATATGCAGAAGCCAGGGTTCTGTTCCTCTGAATTTTATTTTGTGCCTCTTACTTCTTCCTGTAGAATTATTTAAAAATGTATAAAAAATAAAATCGAAGTTTTCTTTCTGTTAATTCATAAAATGGCTGTGTCAGTTTGCGTTCATTCCCTCAGTTAAAAATATTTTGGTTGATACAGTCTCCCTGTTTTTCATTCTTTCATAGCTTAAATTGTTAGGGGAACCTCTCAGGCTGTTTTTAATTCCTAAGAAAGGTCACGATGGCTTTGCCAGTGTGAAGAATCAGTGATCTGGAAGAAAAGGAAAACGATATGCCATGTGGTTTTCTGCCTCTGCTTTGCTATGCTGTAAGACTGTATGACACCCCAGAACTCCCAAGGCTTAGGACAGTAG